TCTCTTGGTTTTACTCCCGATGTTTTGGGGGGGGGGGGGGGTAGAGGGCACCTCCCTGAAATGAGAAGAGCATCTCCCTGAAATTGCTTTTTTCAGGTTGGGATCCCTGCTTCTGTCTGTGCTGTGTGGCCAAGGTACATAAACCACAAAAAGAATTGGAAATCCTTTGGCAGATTAGACAGTTCATGTATGTGCAGTTTAATGTGTATTTATTTGCTAGTTCTGCTTTAAGTACAAAATTTCTGGCATTACAGAGCGTCTGTGCAGTGCTGTTAATTGTAAAAAGCAGTGGGTCAAGGGGGAAACAGAAATAATGAATAGATCGCTGAGTGTCTTGTGAACCTTGGAGCCTCAAAGAAAAATGTATTACTGATTAACCAACAAAGAGGACACAGTAGCCTCCAGTGCCAGACTTGCAGGACCCAACTGGGGGGACAGGATCCCAGGGCAAGAGCCAAGTCTCAATGTTGTCAATCATAAGGTGGACTTGGATGGAGCAAATCATTGCCTGAACCCCCTGTAGCTACAGCCTTGCCCTGAAATGATACAACGCTGTACTTGAAGTGTATCTCTAGGTAAAACTATTTTTGGGGGGTTTTGGATGGAGTGGAGAAAGGGTAAACCCTCTGTTAAGTTTTATATTGCTGTCTATGTCCTCGTTGAGAAGATTCACCCCTCTGTCCTATTGTCACGGAGCCAGAAAGTGAGAGGAAATCAAAAACTTTTGAGCTGTCCCCAGAGCCAATAGGTAAGGGGTGTTGGAAATGCAGCAACATATGCTGAAGAACTGTTATGTCTTTTGAGCTGAAGATGGTGCTGTAGTGCAATGCTAATCTCTATGCTTGCTCATCAATGATATACAGGAAGTGCTTTCTGTAAGCTGTATAATGCTGTATTCTGATCTAAGCAAGTCAAACTTAATTCAGCATTCCTCAAAATCTCAGTGCTTCATCTAAACACATAACCAACAAGGGCAAATCTATCTGTTCCAGGGACAAAAACCTAAGAATTCCTCCAACCTTGAGAGATTTCCTCTAACATCCTGTTGTCTCTCTGGGACATGAACTAAAGGGAAATTTCCCCAATGGTATACAAACAGCAAATAATGAACTGGCAAGGGTTTGAACCCTTCCCAACTCTATCCATTTATTTTGGATATTCATACACTTAAAGTATATTACATTGTAAAGCGCTGTGCAAACTGTTGGCGCTATATAAATCCCGTATAATAATAATCATGTAAACCCCCAACAACGCATTTCTCTTATTTGCTCTATTTTGATCTGTTACATATACCATTGAAAGTGTTTTAATATATCTGTTTGACAATTCCAAAAAGTACCGGTTGATCCTGCCAGATATCTTGGGAGTTGATAACTTTCTGTGCTGCATTCTATAAGCTAGTATTGGTCCTAGCTATCTCTCTGGACTACCATGCACTTCTGCTATATGTTATAGAGAAAGGTCCTGTAGTCCTGTCCTTGGATAACAACGCTGTACCTCCTTAGATAATGTACAGTGAGTAAAGGTTGTCACTCTAGCACATGTGTTACTTGTATGTTAAAAAAATGAAATGAATGCAGCCAGTACATGATTTTTCTCCTGGGTTTAGATACTCTTTAATGTATCATCCCATATACCCACCTTGGAGCCCTGACAGGAATACCAGGGGCAATGTTACATGATTTGACCATGTCAACGGTGGACCCAAGGCTAAAGCTGGCCATACACCAGTAGAATGTCATTCAAACTTTCATTCAACGTTCTGAAAAATTGTTTGTCAGAGCATTTGATGATCCCTGAGTCAACTAATTTCAATCAAAAGCCCTTTAAAATTTTGTCCAGACCTACTACTTGTATGGAATCCCAGATGTATTAAACAGGTTTCTTTTGCGCATTACAATATTTCCCGAATGGAAATCACATTCATGGTTAGGATTTCGATGGAAACATTTTCCATTTAGAGTTTTTTTTGCCCATAGAGTCAAAAACGGTCATCGATTTTCCCCATTAGCCATTAGCAAATTGATAGAATGTTCTTAAAATAAAATCTTTCGAATTCAATTCAGCTGGTGAATGGCCACTTTTTGGTACCCAGCCAAAGTGGGTAGTAGATGTACCATTGTATAGGATAAAGGGGATACAATACAAATATGGTGCACTTACCTGTCCACAGCATCTTGTTTGCTAAGCACCTGTATGCACTGCTCGGTCTTGTAGAGAAGACTGTAAATGGTCACCTGCAGGTAATGGTTATGTCCGAAGTCCGAGTTCTTGTCCAGGATCTGACGCAGGTGCTCCTTAGTGTCCCTGGTGATATCTGGAAGGTAAGGGTGACCCCTCTGGAAATGAGGCGACCCATTATACCGTGTCAAAACATCCAGCTTCTGTATTACTCTCTCCACTGTCTTCTTGTCCAGGTGGGCACTGCGCCCACCATGTATTCCGTGCATAGGTACAAAATCAGCAGCCAACAAGCAAAAGAGGTTACTCACAAGTTGAGAACTTAGTGTGCAAAAGTCGGAGGATCCGAAATACACATTAAAAGCAAACAAGGAAATAAGAGTGTAGGCAAGGAAACTGCACTCGAAAAAAAACAAACTGTGGTCAGATAAGAATCTGAGGCAGCTGCAGAGATTGTGAACAGTGATTGAACAGAGAGAAAGAGAAGCTAGTAAATAGTCTGAGATGTAAAATAAAGGATCTAGTGTGGGACAGGATATGTCCTCTGTGAGCTGAGAGTAACAGTAGAGACTGGCCTTGTTATCTCTTCCTGTTTGTGATAGGATGACACACCCACTACACGTGAGCTACACCTGAAAGACAGGTACTCTGATGCCTGCGAGAGTTTCATAAGTACTCTGATACTGTGTCAGACATGATAAACACTGGAAGAATCCGAGCACAGAGCTAGTGTCACATACTCACATACTGACCAAAGCAAGGGCATTGTAACTTTAAAGGGCAGGGATCATCCCTGGGAAAGAAATAACAGAAAATGCTGCACTTAAGGGTATCTATGGTCAAAAATAAAAAAAATAGACATGTACATTTGGTTTCATTCCGAATGTATATTTGTACGAATTTAGTTCAATATAGACATTTTGATGCATCCAAATTTCTGAATACTAATGCGTCCAAATCCAAATGCTCGTTTAACAAAAATTCGGATTTGTCCAAATTTTGTTCAAAACTAAACTAATTTGGACCTGTAACTGTTCTCTGACCAATCAGATGAGGTTTTTTTTGGCTGTTGGGGGTTGCATTATAGGCAAAGTCATGTGACTTAATTCTGAAATGAAAATTTGGATGGATCCGAAATCCAAAAAACAAAAGAAATAAAAATCTGAATGGATCCAAAACGAAACAAATTTTTTAGCGGGGTTACATGCAGGAATGCACTAATACCGTTTTTTTGGTATCGAATACGAGTACTAATATTTTGCTTTTGGTACTTGCCGATACCGAGTATTGATACCGGTGCTTCCGCTTGCATGGAGCCGGCTTCCCGGGCAAATAGGAAGCCGGGCGGGGGTAATGACATGACGCCCGGCTTCCTCAATGCCTGGGAAACCGACTCTATGTTGTTTGGCTGGCAATCTATTGTGATCGGCTGGGAAACCGGCTTCCCAGCCAATCAGCATCGAGATGGCTTCCCGCACAATCTGGAAGCCAGGCGGCGAAAACTGACCCACCTCCCGCATTCCTGATTGGCTAGAAAGCCGGCTTCCTAGACAATCATGGAACTGGCTTCCCGTGCAATCAGGAAGCCAGGAGGTGGGTCATTACTCGCCACCCGGCTTCCTGTTTACCCGGGAAGACGGCTCCATGTTCCTCAACGGCACTGCTGGTCAGAGGAAATCTACCTTGGACCGGAAGTTCCGGTATCGGGGAAGGTATCGGAGCATTTGGGGGAGTACTCGCCCAAATACTCTGTATCGGCACCTATACCAATACTAGTATCAGTATCGTTGCATGTTAGAGGAGAGGTGAGTGTTTTCATTACTGATCAAAAGAATTTTATTTGATAAAAAATTTTAACGATTAATCGGGTAATTAATCGTTAATTTCCGCAGCCCTACAAAATACCAATTTTTCAAAAAATAGTCAGAGCTATATCTCTTAGGTATGGTTTGGCAGTAATTGGCCAGCCGCAGGACAGAAAGTGATCTTGATCAGATAGATTGATAAATTGTTTGAACACAAACAAGACAGGGGTTTTGCTACACTGGAAATTCAAGTGAATCAACTCAGATACACTCAGAAAAATGCAGTTAGGTGAGCTGAGTAATGAGGATAAAGGGCTTAGACACATGGCAGATGTTTGTTACACTTGTAAAGAAAATATGCCAGTCTGAGTGTACCTAAGGGCGGCAACCTAGGAGCCATTCTACATCAAAGTCGAACACCCCTTGCTGGGTGAATCCCAAGTGATGCCTTTGACTTTACACCTAGGGTCTTGGGTGAATTCGCCATTGGCAGCACATTTTCAAGGCACCAAACAATCTCAGATACAGTTGGGAACAAAACTTAACAGCAACAGGAGCATTTAGCTTTAGTGAGCGCCATATGTTGAGAAAGATAGCAAAAAATAGAGTGTAACCCTTTTGGATTTCAGAGGGGTCAATTGCTTTTTTGACAAAGGTAAGGAGGGGAAGAAGGAGAAGAAGTGTCAGGAGGCCAAAATGTTCGCAGCATCTGTAACAGTGAGAACACAAGGGCAGAGTGTTTGGTCTTTTCTTAGTTAAATGGGTAAATCTTTCAAATGTCTTGGTATCCTCGCTTGTAAATGTTTGTAAATGTTTTAGTGCTAGCCTTTCATTCCCTGCTCATGTTTGCTTGACAAGGGCAGGGACGGTCTTATAAGCAAAAATATGTAAATAATAAAAAATATACAAACATTTGTATGTAATGAAAAGTATCCACCAGCTGGTATGTAAGCAGTTAAAGTGCCAAGCAGCTTTGTCAAGTTAGCATTTAGTTGGCAAGCACTGCTGTTGAGATTTAAGACTTCACTGTGGGGAAGCAGTCAGTCTATTGTTTTAGGATTGTGTGCTTAACTTTTGCTTGTGCTTGTCCATCCCAACTTGCCCATGAAGAAAGAGTCCCAGGAAAAGACTAATGAAGGATTGAGATGAGTCTCCCATTAAACTTTGCAGCTCCACAAAATCGCATTGAGTACCCCCTTGCAGCATCCTTCCCAGCTGCCAATTGTTTAATGTATTTTGCATTGCCAATGTTTGCTTGACTAGGGCAGGAATGAACTTACAAAAAAAATAACTTTTGTAAATATTTAATAAACAATTGTTATGGCAGCTGGGGAGGAGTGTCAAGAAGCTGCTACCATGAGAGCTGTGCAAGTGTTCACAGGTGCACGTTCCACAGATTCTGCTGTCAGACAGGCTATTTAGGCTGTGACTCTCTGATGCTCTGTGCTGAGTGATCGTCAGCTTCCTGTCACTGTGATCCTGTGTTTCTGCTTGATCCTGTTACCGTCCTGGCTTGTCCTGACCATTCTGCTGATCTTCCGTTACCCTGACCTTGGCTTATTCTTGACGTTGCTCCTGACAACAGGCACAAACCAATAATGTGACCCCCGACACCTATAACATATAACAGGTGTAACAACACAGGAAACAGGGCTCAGGACAGCAAACAGGAGACAGGGTACAAGATTGCATACAGGTCATAGGGCTCTGCACTGCAAACAGGTATTAAGGCTCAGGACTGCAACAGGTAACACTGGAAACAGGGTTCAGGATTGCAAACAGGCATCAGGGTCTCAGGGTTCAGGACTCAGGCAACAGGGGAAGGCAACGGAATACTGAGCCAAGGTCCAGACTGCAGGGAGGGTTTAAATACCCTCCCAGGAAACAATTGGTAATGGGCTGATTCCTGGCAGCTGGGAGACACCCACAGGTGAGCACTGTAGCTGCAGGTACTAGCACTACCCAGTGGTGGTCTGGTACCTAGCAGTTCCTGGCTGCCTGGAGAATCCTGCAGGTGAGCCCATGAACTGCAGGGCTTAGCTCCAGCACCACCTGGAGGCGCTCTGGATCCTAACACGCTGCTTCTCACCTGCTGCTCCTGTACAGCGTTGTCCACACAGCACTGACCCTATCTTGTTCTTCAACCACGATGCTGTCTACTGCATGGTACCTCATCGCCCACATGGCGGTGACCTGTCTTACACCTGACCTCACTTCTACCTTGAACTGTGTTTTGAGCATGCATCTCATGCATTATCTTCTGCCTCAAGATCATCATCAGAGTCAGCACTTCAGCCTGCAGTCTTCCTACACTCGTGCCCCTCTGTGATCTGACTTCCCTGTTCCACTATCAGGGGTTTTGGGAGGCTTCTCTCATCATTTCAAGCTCCAAAAGGTACATGACAAGAAGGATGCCCAACCAGAAACCTTCTGACAAATATGGGAAGAGTTGCAATTTTCATGAGCGATCACATCAAAACCTTTGTGATATATTTTCTGCAACAGTTCTGTGCCAGATATGTTTTAGGGGCATATCAGTCCATGCTGCCATTGTATGTCGAGCACTACTGCTATTCTCTTTTCTTACCCGTCATGTTATGCTAGAGCGTAGAGCAAAAGACTAATCGTATACAACAGACTACAAGTGGTCGGATTCCGCTGCAACCTGCCACAAATAGAACACAACCATAATTTACTGACTGCCCCTCTCAAGTGTTTTAGCATTGAAGGAAGATTTAAAGAAGTGAAGACAAAAAGCAATGCTCCACAGGAAGGTGGAGGGCAGAGTTATGGTAGGATTAGAGGAGCAGAAGTTGGAGGATGAGGTGGAGATAAAAGGAAAAGGAACATGATTAAAGCTTGCCACTTACTACCTTGACATGCTGCACCTGCACTCTGCAGTCTTTTTAGGCCTGCATGTCATTTTTTTTTAGAGTCCTGACAAAAATTTCTATACCTTCTCCACTCTAAAACTTAAAAATTGTAGAGTTTTTAATCTTTTAATCAAGCTCAGACTTAAAGTGTATCTAAAGCAAACCTTTTGTTTAGTTTGGGATAAAGTGGTTATGGGTTAGCAACCTGTCACATTTGTATTCCTCACTAGGAAGATTCACCCTCTCTATTTATTCTAGTGACCATTGTCAAATGGACTAAAAGTGAAAAACAAATCCAAAATTTTTAGTTGCCATTGGAACAGGAAGAAAGGAGGAATCCTCTAGTGGCAACTGTCTAAGAGGGGACTTGCCTCACTTTGGAGAGATTTCCTCTTACTTCCTTTGGATCTACTTGGCAGGAAGTGAAGGTAAAAAGAAAACCCTAGATGTTCTGTCAAAACTGTATTGGTTTCTACAGTTGTGCCTGGCCTCAAAAAAGTAACCACCTGAATTTAGCTAAGCAAATAAGAGCCTTCCATTGGATAATTACTGCAGTGATTAATATGTTTCATCTGGCAACAAATGTGGGTCAGCTGCCTACCTGAATATACTGAATATTTAGATTTTTCCATCAATGGATTTTATTCTTCCCTGATGGCACGGACATATTCCAAGATGACAATGCCAGTGTTAGGCCTGCCAAGAAGTCCCACCCGTCACTCCAATTTCCTGACTGGTAGTCTTGTTATCCCGGTGTCAGGTGGAGAGACAGATAGGAATCTGACAGCCAGGGTATACAGAGAACCGATGAGCAAAGTGTAGGCAGAACAAGACTAGGGATGGGCTGCATGTTCGAGTCGCACATAGGTTCGACTCGAACATAGCCTGTTCTAAGACC